TATATAAAATTAGCCAGGTATGGTGGCACATGCCTATAGTCCCAGCTGTTCAGGAGGCTGAGGCACAAGAATTGCTTGAATCCAGGAGGCAGAGGTTGCAGTGAGCAGATTGCACCATTGTACTGTAGCCTGAGCGACAGAGTGAGACTCTGTCTCGAGAAAAAAAAAAAAGGTTTATAATTACATGTACCATAATTTTTTTTTTTTTAAATATGGAGTCTTGCACTGCCACCGAGGCTGGAGTGCAGTGGTGCCATCTCAGCTCACTGCAACCTCCACCTCCCAGGTTCAAGTGATTCTCCTGCCTCAGCCTCCCGAGTAGCTGAGATTACAGACACTTGCCATCATGCCCAGCTAATTTTTTGTGTTTTTAGTAAAGACAGGGTTTCACCATGTTGGCCAGGCTGGTCTCAAACTCCTGACTTTGTGACTCGCCCGCCTGGGCCTCCCAAAGTGCTGGAATTACAGGTGTGAGCCACCACACCTGGCCTAAACCTCCTTTTTAATGGTTTAATAAGTATGTTCCATGATGTAAAAATGTCAATGCTTAGAAAAAGGACATGGACATCCTACTTTATGGACATGATGGCGTGTACATCCATGTGTAATGTGTGTTTTGTTTATGGGAATCTTTGCAGCACCAGATGCCTCTCTTCCGGAAGAAGATGGTGTGGGAAATCCTTCATCAGCAGTTACTGTGAGGAAAACTTTGCCTGGTCCCTCTAGCTGCTGGTGGTTCTTTCACAGACATTTCCATATACCTCATGCATTGTGGGTTAAAAAGTCCCTGCATCACTTCTGTTCTCTCACAGGTACTGAGCTGTCAAAAGTGCATGAAGGCCTCTCGCTGCACCCTAGTCCTGAGTTGGGGTGCAGAGGGCTGCTTGCAATCCTGTTTGTAAGGCTGTGCCTGCTCAGAGCTTTGGACTGTTCAACCCACACAAGAACAAACGCTAATATTTTTTTTAAGAAATTCTTTTCCCTATGAATGTGGGAAATGCAGGATTTATTCTGTGAATTGTTTTTTTCTGTGTGTTTGTTCAGCGTATTCATTCACTCATTCGTTTGCAAACATAATGGGCAGTGGCCATTTACTGCTGCTCTTTTATAGTTAGCTCTAAATTACTTGTTTGAACTATTTATTTCTGAAAGGAATGTTACTCAAGCTGCCACTCCCTGCTGAAGACCAGGAGAGAAATCTCACTGGGGGCGGAAGTGGAGCTGGAGCACTAACTGCCAACATGAAGCTGGAGGGTTTGGGATTTGTTTTTGTTTTTGTTTTTTTGAGGCTCAAAAATGCTGGGAGAAGCAAAAATGCTGTGGGATAGGGCTCCCATTGCCTTTCAGAGGAAGTCTGACACTACAGCGTTGGCACAGTGCCATGGAGCCGAGGAACTGTGCCCAAGGAACTCTGACTACCCAAGCATCTTCAGAAGAGTGTTGTGGTCATCTTACAGTGACTTCCCTTTCTGGAAATGAGGTGACTTGGCTTAGTCTTGAAACTGGATTCATGGATTTGAAGTAACAGTAAACCCTAAATCTTCATTTTCATCCCAGATCTGGTTGAGTATAAACCTCAGAATTGTAGGGGCTGGCCTGAGCTGTTTATTTCAAAAGATACTATTCAATTTAAAGCTATTTTTCCTCAGAGTTTTTGTTTTCTATATATTGAGCCTAAATTAAGTTTTCTACTCAATAAGACTAACATCTCCCCACTCCATCCCCACTGAAAGTTGTAGAAGAAAATGTACTTGGCTCCGAGGTTGCCAGTTACACAGTAATCTATTTTGCATATGAAAGTTTGTATTTAACTTTTTCGTTCATTAAAAACCTTACTGATGTGGTTATAATTTCAGAAAGTTTAGAGTTGGTCAGAACATATTTTGCGAGATCTAGTGCCTAGTGTTGCTTTTCTGATGTAATAAAAGGTTGTCTGGCAGAACCCAAAAAGTATATGCTGAAATGATTTCTAACCCTCTCCCTACTTAAGCCTCCCAAACTTGTTCCGGTTCATGACAGTGAGAGGTAAAACTGGAAAAACTGGGCATGCGTTCCCTATGGATCTACATGCCTGCCACGCAGAGTGCGCGGGCTGCTGGTCCCAGAGGGATACTGGCTGTAGCTATTGCAGCCAGTTTTCCCTGAGACTTGTAAAACTCCTGGCTGAGGACATGGGACCTGCGATGTGGGTTGAAAATGCTGGGCCTACTTGATGGTCAGCCAGAGGCCATGTGGTTGGGTGATTATTAAAGCAGGAGCAGGCTGTGCTGCGTCTGCCTCCTTCCTGCAGCCCCTGCTCCTGTCCCTGGGCTCCTGGCACTGCCAGCGAGTATTGGGACCAGGCAACCACACAGCCAAAAAGGCCAGAGGTTTGCGAGGTCAGCATTATGCCAGACTCCTGGCTTGCCCTGTGCATGTCCCTTGAGAGTTTGGTACCTCGGTTAAGATTGAGTGCATGCTAGGTAAGTCCTGTTAGGAATGGCAGTTTGTATTCCGCCCAAATGAATGATGCTGGGGCTTAATGTATTATTCAAGGGGCTGCTTAAGAGCATTTCTCACTGAGCTCTCCATTACTGTACACTCTTCCGGATGGTTCTCAGGTCTTCCAGGACATAATGCAATTGGGAAGAGCAGAGTGATGAGCTCTCTAGCATGGCTTCTGCTTGACCCTGAGTTCCTGAATTTCCTGGGGGAGACCACAGGCCATGCTTCTCGAGGCATTAACGTGTCTCCGTGGGCACAAAGCAGCAGCGTGTTAGGAATAACAGCTTTTTAGAGCCAAACAATTTATTTGGATCTAAAAGTTTATTAAAGTGTTCAGGCAAAAAAACAGCTACTGAATTTATTAATAGCAAATTATCACCATTAAAGCGTGTGTGTGTGTGTGTGTGTGTGTGTGTGTGTGTGTGTGTGACAGTTTTGCTCTTGTTGCCCAGGCTAGAGTGCAATGGCTCAATCCTGGCTCACTGCAACCTCTGTCCCCTGAGTTCCAGCAGTTCTCCTGCCTCAGCCTCCCGAGTAGCTGGGATTACAGGCGCCCACCACCACGCCCGGTTAATTTTGTATTTTTAGTAGAGACAGGGTTTCACCATGTTGGTCAGGCTGGTCTTGAACTCCCAACCTCAGGTGATCCACCTGCCTCGGCCTCCCAAAGTGCTGGGATTACAGGCATGAGCCACCGCGCCCGGCCATTACTATTTTTTAGTAGCCTCTTAAAAATTGATGTCGATTTTTAAAATATACTGTTGAGAGCAAGTATCTTTCTCAAGCTTGACCTTGAACAGAGCTGGATTGGGGTGGGAGGGAAACAGATTTGGGGCATATGGAAGATGTTCCTGGGAGCCCCATATTCTACCTCAGTTACCCAATGCTATTAGAACCTGTGAGTTTTTCCTCCTCTGAAATGCTAAGCACAACATGTCTGATAGTGGATGCTTGCCTGCACTGTGAGGAGCTGCCTGATCTTGGACCAGGGTGTGGCTGTGGGGATAATGTATCCTAGTAGAAACGGTGAGCCTCAGATGTGAGTAAATAAGTAACTGACAGCAAGTTAAGTTTGTGACAGCCTTAGTACTGTAGTTAAGCTACATTGTTTAAATTGGCTTGTGAACTAATTGGAACCTAATCTCTTTTATAACCATTTCTTTGAGAAAAACTGCCAAGTACCTGATCTTCAAACAAACTTATGGTACATATTTGTAAACTGGTGATCTAGCTGGCTATATTATTGCTTTGACAATTTTTTTTCTTTTAATTTACCTAATATATACAGGAAGGGGTTTGGATATATTGGAATAGGTGTTGCTTTTCTCTATTTACCAATAAATTCATCTCTTTAATTCAGTGGCTTTCACTTTTTTTTAATTGCAACTCATTGGAATAAATGTATTTTATGTTGTGAACACACACACACATATAGTGTGATTATGGACACAAAAATGTCACATACACTTTTGTGAAGTAATACTTATCCTTACTATATTCTGATAGTTTTATTTCAGTTTTTAAAAAAATTCAGGTTGTGACCACCAAGTTGATTTCTCTGCCCACTAATGGACAGATAATGCAGAGAAGGAAAACACTGCTCTAAGTGACCTGATCGCAAGATGCAAATTATGTTTAAAACCATAAAGTTTGAGACCAAAAAGCAAAAACAAAAACCATATTATAAATGTGAGACTGTTTTCAGATGACTCCATCTAAATCTAGGAAAATGGGCTAGAAGCTTTCAGACCCTTGCTGGAAATATGTGGTATAAACAATCCTTAATCTTTTTTTTTGAGACCAAGTTTTGCCCTTGTTGCCCAGGCTGGAGTGCAGTGGCCGGATCTTGGGTCACTGCAATCTCCGCCTCCTGGGTTCAAGCGATTCTCCTGCCTCAGCCTCCCAAGTAGCTGGGACTAACAGGCATGCGCCATCACACCTGGCTAATTTTGTATTTTTAGTAGAGACGGTGTTTCTCCGTGTTGGTCAGGCTGGTCTTGAACTCCCAACCTCAGGTGATCCGCCCACTTCGGCCTCAAAGTGCTGAGATTACAGGCGTGAGCCACCACACCCGGCTTTACATCCTTAATCTTTAGGTCCTTAAATGGGCATTTCCTAAAATGTGTTAAGCATGAGTCTTGTAACTTGTATAAAGAATATGTAATCCCAGCACTTTGAGGGGCCACTAAGGCAGGAGAATTGCTTGAGCCCAGGAGTTCCAGACTAGTTTGGGCGAGATGGCAAGACCCCAGTTCTATTTCTTTAAGGATATAAAGCAAAGGGTCTGTGGCCCAATGAATATGCATACCACGTCCCTTCCTCCTGGGAATGCATAGCAAACATACGTTTTGTACGAATGAGTTGTTTTGAGCTAGCATTTCCCAAAACTTGGACATTGAACCCTTTTCTCTGAGACACCTGTGGAACTATTTTATGGAACACACTTAGGAAAGTGCCAGGAGAAGCAACATAGACAGTTCTTGGAAGTACGTACTTTAAGAACACACTGGGCAGCCTTACCACTGCCCTTCCATGGCCTCCCAACACACCTCATCCTCATGAGATCATCAAGTCTGATCCCACACTGCCACCCTGTCCCCTTATATTTTTCTTTAATTATATCAGTAATAGGTGTTCGTAGTATAAAAATAAAATGCTGATAAAAGGTAATCATTCTGCACATTCACCACCTGGAGTTAATAATACCTCGTAACTAACATTTGGGTTGGGCATGGTGGCTCACACCTGTAATCCCAGCACATTGGGAGACTGAGTCGGACCAATGACTTGAGGTCAGGAGTTCCAGATCAGCATGACCAACATGGTGAAACCCCATCTCTACTAAACTTACAAAAATTAGCTGGGTGTGCTGGTGGGCACCTGTAATCCCAGCTACTGAGGAGGCTGAGGCAGGAGAATCGCTTCAGCCGGAAGCGGACGTTGCAGTGAGCAATGTACCACTGTACTCCAGCCTGAGACTCTGTCTCAAAAGAAAAAATTGGGCATATATCCTGGCCTTCCCCCTTCATGGATATGTGAATACATGTACAGGCTTGCATGTGTATACAACTTGTTATTAACAAATACAGAATTATGATTATATAACTCCTTTTCACTTACCTTGAACATTTTCATGTCAATAAATAGATCATTTGAATTGCTGCAGACTGTACCACTCTATGGCTATCACAAATACATTTAACCCAGTATTACTGAATAGTCTTGCACAATGTTCAGGTTATTCTAAGAAATTCTTAGCATTATAATTTCTGGGTTACAAGTCATGTATATTTTTTAAAATCAGGAAAAAAATAATTACCCATTGGTATTTTGACTCATTTCTTCCAGCATGGGATAACTGTATCTCCACTGATTTAAGATTTGTAATATTTTTCACGTGTAGGCCTTTAGTTCATTCCAAGGGACTTAATATCTCATTTTAGTGAACAATTTTATCTTTGTTTCAGCTACTTAAAAAAAAAAAAAACAACCTTTCATTATGGGGATTTCAAGACTTAGGCAAAAATAGAATAGTATAGTAAATACCCCCCTTACCTGCGGTTTTGCTTTTTCCTTGGTTTCGGTCACTCTTGGGTATGGTTCAAAAACATTAAATGAAAGTAACAGAAATAGGCACTTTGTAAGTTTTAAATTGTGCACCATTGTGAGTAGCATGATAAAATCTCCCTCTGTCCTGGGTGGGACAGGAATCATCCCTTTATTTTTGAGATGGAGTCTCGCTCTGTTTCACCCAGGCTGGAGTGCAGTAGCGTGATCTCAGCTTACTGCAGCCTCTACCTCCCGGGTTCAAGAGAGTCTTGTGCCTCAGCCTCCTGAGTAGCTGGGACTACAGGTGCCTGCCACCACACCTGGCTAATTTTTGTATTTTTAATAGAGATGGGGTTTCACCATATTGGCCAGGCTGGTCTCAAACTCCTGACTTCAGGTGATCAGCCCACCTCGGCCTCCCCAAGTGTTGGGATTACAGGCGTTGAGCCACCGCACCCGGCCTTCATCTCTTTGTTCAGCATGTCCACACTGGATATGCTACTCACTTGTTACTTTATAGGAAAAAACACCATATGTGTCTATATAGGTTTGGGTACTGACTGGGGTTATAGGTGTTTCTGGGCATTTGCAATAGATAGACTAGGAAATGTTTTTCTTTAAAGGAAAAAGTTTTACTGACTTCGAATTCAAATGTAAGATTCCAAGGTTTTTCTTTTTTTCTTTCTTTTTTTTTTTTTTTTGAGACAGGGTCTCACTGTGTCACCAGGCTGGAGTGCAATGGTACAACCATGTCCCACTGCAGCCTCGACATACTGGGTTCAAGCCATCTTCCAGTCAGCTTCCTGAGTAGCCAGGACTACAGGCACATGCCACCATGCCCAGCTAGTTTTAAAATTTTTTGTAAAGATGGGGTCTTGATATGTTACCCAGGGTATCCAAGGTTTTTCTTGATCTTA